TATTATTGATGAAGTCGTCATAGCACTGACCCTTGGGAGGTACATATTCCAACTCTTACTGGAGCAGGGTGCCAGACCTGTGTTGAGGGAATGTGGCATACACACTAATGTGGGCATCATATCTCCACACACATGAGACCATCTCCTAGGCTGAGAGCTGGCCTATGGGAAGAAGCCCTGGTAGGAAGGCACCATAGAGCCTGTCAAAGGATCCAGGGAAGGCAATGGAAAGAGGTACTTAACCAGGTGTGGCCAGACACAACTTCCACCACGCTGCCCTACTTCCCTGAGTGGTCTGTAAAGCAGGCATACCCTCCTCTCAGACTTGTCAAGAACAAATGGAATTTGGTGAGGGCTTCAGTCCACATGTCCCATCTTCCAGAAAATTCTAGCAGGAGGAGGCTATAAAAGGTGTCCAAAAAAAGCCTCCGCCCTTCCAACTGATTCCATTTCTCTCGTGGTACTATGACAGCTTTTCCCTTGTTCCTGCTTGAAACCCTGTCCCTCTAAAGCAGGCAGAGGTCCCCCAGCACATGCACGTAACCCCTCTGGTGACGGCCTTCCATGGCTCCCTCCTGCTGGGTTGAGGTCCAAAGACAGCTTTGTTGTCACTTGTTCCACCTTGGAAGCAGAACCCAGGGCCGTCTCATTCTGCCCAACAGATGAAGCTGGGTCTCAGAAGTGAGGAAAGCTGCCACAGTCATATGTGGTAGGTAGTCCCATTACAGACCTGACAATCGACGTGGCAGCTAAGGGCCTCGTCTCGCCATTGTGCCCTGCCTGGCCTAGCACCGAGGAGACACTCAGCCCAAGTTTACAGGGCATAATTGGATTTGGATGGATCAGATCAGATTAGCTTCGACCTGGCGGGCAGCCTGAGCTAGCAGGCACCAGGCATGTGAAAACCAGGACATCCGGGAACAGCTGAAATTCTTTTAGTTCCTCCATGAAGGGAAACAAGTAAGCTTTCTCTGAACTTGGCACATGTGGTCCCCATGCCTACACCTAGGGAGGTGTGCTGGAAAGCTTGTAGTTTGAAACCCTCTCAGGAGCAGGCATGGTCCAGGCAGAGATCTGCAGGAGGACAGAGAAGAAGCAAGGCCTGCAGTTCTGAGTCACAGAAGCTATGCTGTGCCACCCCAGCTGGGCCCTGGACCTGGGACTGAGCATGCCGGGTCTCAGCATGAGTGACTAAGGTCCGTGTTTGATACGTGCACAGGTTAATGAAGGAAACCATCTGCAGCCAAAAGTTGCCAGAGTAGCCTGGCAGAGGCCACAGAGGCTGGGGAGAAGCTTTCAATCCAGAGTGCAAACCACACTCATGAGACAAGAGTGGCTGGGCCTAGCAACTTGCATGTCAACTGCAAGGGCATGCCTCTCGAGCCCACATTCTCCTTGTTTTAGAAAATATGGTTTTTGGTGAAAATCATTATGTTTGCCTGTGATACGTTTTAAGCTGTTACTTTTAAATACATCAAAGCTTACAACTGTTAGGAACATAGAAAGGACCTGAGTTCAGCTGTCCTCAGCCTGTCCCCACCTTTTGCGGGAAGCAGACCTCTCTGGATCCTGACAGAGAAGAATCGAGGCTACAGCAACCTTGTAGAGGGCTTGGTATGGGAGCCTGAGATGGGAGGCTACACTCAGGAGCCTTGACTCTGCCTCACAATTACAGTAGGGGATAGAGGCCTTACACACACACATACACACATACACACACACACACACACACTACCACCACCACCACCACCACCATGGTTGTGGAGCAGACTAAGAGAAATTTTAGGACTCTTCTGGCTGCACTCTTTTTTTTATTTTTTATATATTTGAATTACAAACAAGATTGAATTACATGACGATCCCAGTTCCCTTCTCCCTCCCTTCCTCCTCTACCACCCCCCCAACTAAAATCCTACCTATCATATGTCCTTTCTTCTAATCTATACCCTTCCTCTTCTTCCCTTCTCATTCTCATAGCTCACTTCCCCCTCTTCCCATGCTCTCAATTTGCTCAGGGGATGGTGACCCTTTCCCCTTCTCCAGGGAACAAAATTTGTCTCTTTTAGGGTCTTCCTTGTTTACTAGGTTCTCCGGCAGAGTGGATTGTAGGATGGTAATCCCTTACTGTATGTCTAAAATCCACATATGAGTGAGTGCATATCATGTTTGTCTTTTTGTGATTGGGTTACCTTGCTCAGAATGGTTTCTTTTTGTTACATTTTCCTGCAAATTTCAAGATTCCATTGGTTTTTTTTCTGCTGAGTAGTACTCCATTGTGTAAATGTACCACATTTTCTCCATCCATTCTTCAGTTGAGGGACATCTAGGCTGCTTCCATTTTCTCGCTATTACAGATAGTGCTGCTATGAACATTGTTGAATTCCTTGTTGCATGAATGTGCTTCTTTTGGGTATATGCCTAGGAGTAGGATTGCTGGATCTTGTCGTAGACTCATTCCCATTTTCTTGATTTCCAAAGTGGTTGTACAAATTGGCACTCCCACCAGCAGTGGAGGAGTGTTACCCTTTGTCCACATCCTCTCCAGCATAAACTGTCATTGGTGTTTTTGATTTTAGCCATTCTGACAGGAGTAAGATGGTATCTCAGAGTTGTTTTGATTTGCATTTCCCTGATGGCTAAGGATGTTGAACACTTTCTTATGTGTCTTTCAGCCATTTTAGATTCCTCTATTGAGAATTGTCTATTTAGTTCTGTACCCCACTTTTTAATTGGATTGTTTGGTGTTGGGATCAGCTCTGTGGCTGCCTATTCCCTTACTGCAGCCTCACTGCTGACCATTGGCTGCTGCAGTCACCATGGTGCTGGACCACTCCCCCAGAGCCTCTCCTCTCCACGGTATGACCCCTTGGCTCATGAATGAAGTCTGGACACTCAAAAGGAAAGACTTGGTGCTAACAGATCCTCAGAGGAGAAGGGGTAGCAGTTTCTAAAGCTTGGGAGTCTGTGGTCCAGGATTCAGGGATGCATCAGCTCTGTGGAGGTGAATTCCTGGCTGTCTGATAGTATGCAAGGCTTCTCAGAGTTGCAATTCTTTGACTAGAAATGGAAATTCAATCTCTGTTTCTTCACCTCACACAAGCTGAGCTAAACAGGACACATGGGCTCTTCCATGCCTTGGAAGATAAAGCAAGTGTGTTACAGCATTGATTGGGGGCAGTGTGGGACAGCTCTGGGAAATCAGTGTAGCCTGGAAGATAGCCTGGGGGGTCAGGAGAATTGATGGAATCAGAGATGGACTTAGGAAGTCATTCATAGAAGACAAGAGAACGGAACCAGGAAGAAGCCAAGGGATACAACAGACAGTGTGGGATTGTGGACCTTGAAAGAATGTGCATGGGAGCAGGGTACCAAAGGTTGGATCACAGCTGAAACACTGGAGAACCACAGACACAGACACATGAAGTAGGGAGTGAAGTGTGACCTAGGCTTTGAGCTGCCCACTGCCAGTTCCCATTCTGATCCCACGAGGCTACTTGGTAGTTAGACTCTTGATAGGCAGCGGGTCCCAGAAAAATGGGCAGGAAACTAAGTGGGTTTGGATAGCCAAGGAAGCTCTGAAGAGTGCGTTACCAGCCAGGACCCACTGGGAAGTTTCTTCCCTCAGATCTGCAGCAACAGGCCCTGCCATCAGAAGCCAGGGTCCACAGAGGCCTGTTGAATGCATGCCAAGAACCTCTCATCTTCCTGGCTCTGGCTTCAGGGAACGTTTACATCTAATCCTCAAGGCTGAGGGTCTCATGCATGTTTACAGGTGAGGCTCTGAGCAGTGAAACAATAGTCTCCAAGGCACACTGCTTACGGGGAAGCCAGATTCATGCCCACCTCCTCTTGACTTCACAGGTTCTCTGTGAATGAAGCTGCATGCCTGGTGCCAGGGCAGACTCATATTGGCTCAGGAGCAACCCTGGTTACTGGTAACCAGCTGAGGTGTTGGTACAGAAGTAGGTCCCTCCTGGTGACCACTGGACAGTGTTCATCGCACCTCCGTTGCTGCTATCAGGCTCAGGTGCTGTTGGAAATTGAAAGGAGAGGGGTGATGGTGCTTCCTTCGGTGCACTGGGTGCTTTGCCTGTCTGTCGTAGGTCAGCTGGTGATGCTCTGCATTGGTATGAATTTAGTGAGCAAATCAAAGGGTGTGGGGATAAGAAGAGCAGGGTCAGGTGGGCCTTCATTCACTTTAGACAGCCTTTTCTTTCTTTCCTGCCGGCCCAAGACATTTTTGGTCTATATTATAACTGCCATAGACTTATCCTTTTAAACATGCCCTGTGTTAGTTACTGAGGGCCCATGTATACAGCACACAGGGTCACAGTTACACTCTCTGCCCCTAGAACGAGGATCCAGTGTGGCCCCTGAGGAAGATGGTCCATCTCATGTGGCTACCACCTCAGGGGTTTCTTCCCCTCTCCCAGACAGCTTCACTTGTCATGCTCTTTCAGATGGAGGTGGCATCAGATTCCAGAGCTAGTGTGCAGCACACAGTGGCTCTCTACCCTTTGATCTGCCTGTGGCCTCTTGATGGACTTGTGACCTACAGCCTCTCACTTGACCCCTGACCTCATAAATTCTGGAAACTCCTCACAAATCACCAAGAAGATAAACATCAACTGGAGTCATCAGAAGGAGGTTCAAGCCACTCCAGGCAAACGGGGAGGAAATAGTTTACTGAGTGGATATAATAGCACCCTGGAGCTAATGAGAGAATCCAAATAGCCCTGACTGGAGGCAGTGCTACACGGATAACCCTTCAAGGTGATGTCAGGCAGGAGCCATGCCGATGTCATTTAGACTGTTCCTTCAGGGCCCAGGCACTGAGGTAGAATCATGTGTACATGGGAGTGATGCCTGCAGCAGCTGACTAAACACACCCACCACTGGATTGGGACACCTTACTAGTCACCTCTCTACAGCCTGAGGTTTTCTTCTCTCTTCCATTCTCACTGGGCTCCAACCTCTGTCTTGTCTGTCTCTCTTCCCAGAGGGGATGAACTGCATGAACAAAGACCATGGCTGTGCCCACATCTGCCGGGAGACGCCCAAAGGTGGGGTAGCCTGTGACTGCAGGCCCGGCTTTGACCTTGCCCAAAACCAGAAGGACTGCACATGTAGGTAGATGGAGGCAAATGGGTCAGACACCCCGTGCGCCTCCCACCATTGCTTGGTGGTGGGTCTGTCCAGGGTGCTGCACATTGGTGAGGGAGGGATCTCAGCACCCTGGGGTTGGGGGAGGACAGGGTCTGCTGAGAGCATTGGGAAAGCTGGAGGGATGGGTCATGACCTCCCAGCTTGAGGTTTTCTATACCTGGTATGACACCATTAACACAGCCCCAGGCACTGGCTTGGACCATCTGTAGAGCCCTGAACACAACTCCAGTGGAGATGGAGGTCTAAAAGCTGCACTTTCTCTGTCAGCCTGACAAGCCCTAGATGATAGAAGAGTTATAAAGAAGCAAAGAGAGTGGATTGGAGGAGGGTGGATGGGAGGGAGTGAACCCAGTACTGACATTTTTCCAGGTTCAAAGGTCAGAACCCAGGTGAGGATACAGTTGAGGTAAAAGAGCACTTGCCTGGAACAAAGCCCTGGGTTCTATCCCCAGCACTCCATAAACCAGGTGTGATGTCCACACCTGTAATTATAGCACTTGGGAGGTTGAAACAGGAGGAGGAGTTCAAAGTCAACCTCAGCTATGTAGACAGTTTGAGGCCAGCCTGTGCTACAATGAGACCCTGTCTCCAAAAAAATAAATAAATAAATAAATAAATAAATAAATAAAAGGCAGAATTCAATAACCTCTGTAGGGCTGAGTACGAATCATGAGCCCCTCATCTGGTCTGCAGAAGGCAGCAGGCCAGAGGTACCATTTCAAGGCCTGCTTGCTTGCCTGGAAGAGATCTACCCCAGGACTCAACATAGTGTGGCCTCTTTTTATTTGGGGCACTGGGAGAGGGTTTCACTGTGTCCTGGAACTTTCTATGTAGACCAGGCAGACCTGGAAATCACAGAGATAAACCTGTATCTGCCTCCCAAAGGGCTAGGATTAAAGGTGTGTTCTATCACATCCATTCCCAGTCCAACCTCTTATCATGGGCATCCAGCTAATGAGTGGAAATGGAATTTGGAAAGGAAACAGAACTTAAGATACTCAAAGGCTTTCAGATCATCAAGCTCAACACACCCTGCCAACTGCTTTGTGAGAAGGCAACAGGATGCAGGCTCTGCTCACTGGTCATGGGGACACCAGGCTGAGTTTTGTTTGTTGTGGGTCTGCCAAGAACTGAGGAAACTTCAGTATAAATACTTCCAACTCAGCTGAACCATGGCTTCATTGGCCTCACACTGTAATGTAGAAGCACATGCCAGAGGAGCCTGCTTCTTCTGACTCTTGAAGGATGTGCTCCCGCCTGCCTGAGCTCCTGTGGGAGTTGACTGACTCCACTATAAAGGCCTCAGTGTCCCCCAGTGTCCATTGTGGAGAGAAGACAGCTGGCCCACCATCCCCAGCCACTGTGACTCTCAGCTCACCTTCCTGAACAGTTGCCAAGGCTCTGGGGATCCATGAGCACCTGTTGTTGTCCCCAGGGGGCTCATGCTCCAACCCTCTATGATATCTACCCATCTCCCAAAGTGGAGGCACTTTCTTCATCCTAGTGTTTTATGGAATTTTCCTTGGGAGATGTGAATAAGTGCCTGCTCACCCTAGATAGTAACAGACCAGAGTATGATTTCACCCAAGTCCAACTTGGGAAACCAATAAGTTTACTGGGCTTATTTACAAAGTATGAATGACCTCGAAGCAACCAGAAAGTCTCATGCCAGCATGGATGATGCCTTCAACACAGCTGCAGACAGGATCTCCCACCCCATCGGTTAACCTTCCACATTCTATATATTCTTTCACTACCATGGACCACAGCTGGGCAGAATTGCATGTATCTGATCTGATGGCAATTGCTGTTGTGTTCAAGGATAACATTCTACAACATCTGGCTGTGGTCAAGATATGGGCCAGTCTGTTCAAGGATAACATTCTACAACATCTGGCTGTGGTCAAGATATGGGCCTGTTTCTAATAATGTTTCTCATTATTGCCGGGTCTTTTCCATGGAAGAGCAAAGACATGCATGTTGGCTGTCACCAAGGCACAACAGAGATAGCCTACACCCTGGCCTGGCCCCACTGATGGATTCTTCCAACTTCAGTGAAAACACTTGCTACCTGGCCACTTTCAAAGCAGATGGGGCTAACTCCAACTCTCCCAGCCCTCATGCCAAGCAAGGACAGGAACAGGCACAGGCTACAGGCAAGCATAATCTCCAAAGACTTGTTCCCTACAGACAGGAGAGAGAGGGCTACCAGTGGCCTCACTGGATCAGTTTACCACTATAAGCCATCTGGGACAAGTGCCACACAGGAAGGTCTGCCCACAAAACTCCTCTGGGTATCTAGCTTGACTAGAAGGAAATGGGACAAGCCAGAGTCTGAAGAAAACTAAGACCCCCTACCTTAGTCACCATGGACTCAGGAAAGGGCTAAGCCCAGCCTAGGGACATTTGCTTGTCCATGGATCCATAGCCTGACAAGGTATAGAAAGCCTAATTCTATGTCCTAGGCCAAGAAGTTGGGAAAAGCCCTATAGCCTTCCTGGAAGGTGGTACTCAGGAAGTCTGGCTTTAGTTCCTCCTGTGTTTTGCGAGGCACGGTTAAAGATGACTTAGACCAATCCCATCCATGTAAACCTAGACCCAATAGTGTGTGTCTGTCTGTCATCCCTGGTGTTTCTGTATTGAGATTGGAGATGGAGACAGAAGAATGGCTAGAAACTTTCAGGTCAGCTAGCCTGGTGTACAGAGTAGTAAACAAGAAGAGACCCCTGCCTCAAACAAGGTAGAAGGTGAGAATCAGCGCAAAGGACAGGGAAGACCCACATGGACCCCAAGCTCATTTGTATTTAGGAACCTTGGACTCTAGAGTTGGTTGGGAACCCAGGTTAGCCAAGCAACCTCAAGACTGGTAGGGAGAGGCTTCAGGGCTCCACACCCCAATCCCCCATCCCGTCAGAGTCTAGGGCCCTTCCCAGGAATGAGGATATTCCTTTATCCATCTTGGTCTTCCCAGAGCCCAGTATGCAGAGTGTGGGAGGAATTGTCTGTGGCATTCTCACAGCCTTTTTTTCCCAAGATGCCCCTGTGCTCCCTCTGAAGAGAATTCTTTGTACCAGAAAGAAAGAAAGAAAGAAAGAAAGAAAGAAAGAAAGAAAGAAGATAAAACCCAGATGAGGACTGACCCATCCCCTGGGACCTATGCAGGCCCTGCTCCTGAACCCTGGGTTTCTGTCCCCAAGAGGAAACACTAGCCTGGGGAACACCAGCTTGCTGCCTATCACCACCATCCCTGAACATAAAATGACAGACTTCATAGAGGAGAGCCTGTGGGCTGTCTAATTTCCCTGGAAGTTGGGTCAAGAGGTAAATGCTGCAAAGAATCCCTGGCTGCTGAAGACAGTATGTGAGATGCCAGACAGAGCCCACCCATCAGTCATTCTCATCCTATCCTCACCTCCAATGATTCCCCTCCCTTGCCAGCTGTCTAAATGGATCTGCTTAGTAGGGCATGATTAATTCAAACTCTCAGAGCTTGAATTTGGTGCTCCTCTAACCATGCCTGCCTAGACTGATGTTTCATAAGTAAATAATGTGTGTAGATAGAGTATGGACAACCAGTCAAGGTCTCCATGAAGACATGCTGTCTGAGCATTCAGGTGACAACTATCTTGGCTACCAGCTCATTGCATGATAAAGTAGAGTCTCCAAGAGCCACTGCAAGAGAGCTGACTCAGATCCTCATTCTCTTCTAGCAGTCTCCCTCTGCCTATACAGTGGCCATGGACCATCTTCATGTAAACAAACTTGAACATCATTTTCCTGCTTCAGACTGGCTCCTTGCTCAATCCTTTCCCATGGATGCAGGTCGCTGCTGCTTCTATGGAGTGTCTGGGTTGAAGGGCCCTAGATCCTCCAGCCATTGGCATCACCAAACACACAATGTACGTTGTTCTCAGCATACATCCCAGATGGCATTAACTTGCTTAAGTTCTCTCTGTCTGGGTATTGCTGAGCTCCATGGTCAGCGCTGTGAGGGACCAGTGCTGAGATAGCTCACAACTAGGACCCACAGAGAGTAGTGTCCATGGGAACATCCCTTCACATGTGCCAAGACGCAGGCAATGGATGGAGCTGTGCAAGAACCAAGAAAATGAATGTCATTGAGCGGTGGTGGCACACACCTTTAATCCCAGCATTTGGGAGGCAGAGGCAGGTGGATCTCTGTGAGTTCAAGGCCAGCCTGGTCTATGGAGTGAGTTCCAGGATAGCCAGGGCTAGAGCCTCTCTCAAAATAAAAAGAAAAAAAAGAGAGAGAGGAGAGAGAGAGAGAGAGAGAGAGAGAGAGAGAGAGAGAGAGAGAGAGAGAGTGAATGTCACTTCAACCGTGGCTGCCATTTCGCCCACAGTGGACCCTGTATATCTTGGTGTAAACAGGCATGTGTCCCAATGGGACTGATGGGGTTAAAGTGTCATGCATGTGTGTCTAGCCTCTCCCCCCACCCTCCACCTCTCTTCATGCAATGTGAGGCTCAGAATCCACTCTTGAGCCTGCCTCTAGGGACTACGATTTCTATCTGGCGTCCTGGAGGGGCTCAAGTGTAGAGATTCGTGTCTGCTGCCCTTGGTCCTCAAAGGACTCTTCCCTGGCCGCCTCATGTTCTTGCTTCCCCCACCCCACCCCCAAGAAAAGAACCAATTCCAGCAAACTAACCATTTCTGTTGTTGTTCTATTTATACACACGTGTGTACACTTTGGGACTAACTAGTAACCTGTAACTATGGAAATGGAGGCTGTCAGCACAGCTGCGAGGACACAGACACAGGCCCCATGTGTGGCTGCCACCAGAAGTACGCCCTACATGCGGATGGCCGGACATGCATTGGTAAGTAGGTACTGCAACTGCCATACTGCCCCTGCAGGTACCCTGTGTGGTTCCCCCATCTTGGAGGAAACAGAAGGGAGACAAGAAGAGGAATCACCCACAAGGCCAATGGGGATGGCAGGCATCCCAAGGGCAGCTTCTGTGAGGATTTGTCCTGGGTCCCTCAGTACCATGGGACAAAGTTCCCTAGGGTTGGGTCTCCCTAGTGGGGTTTCTGCTTGCCCTCATCCTCAACATGGGATTGATTGTCTGCAGCAGTGTACTTCAGCTTGGGGACATCGTCTGTCCCTAAAGCACAAGTATTTTCTAGTGTGAAAAACTCTTGGAAGCCTCACTGAGTCTGTGTGAGCACTTGTAGATCTGGGCACTGTCCACGGCCATGTGGAAACTGAGTTTCCTAGCACGTGGCTCACTGTGAGGGTGGAGGCGTGCACCCTGTGTGGGGCGTACATGCTTGGTGCTTGGGATCGCTTCTCATCCTGAGCTGGCAGGTTCTCCTCAGGACTTCCTCACCCACCCGAAGTCCCTTCCCCCTCAGCAATGTTCCTGTCCCATCACCTGCTTGCTCCATGGAGCCCTGATTAAAACTCAGCCATCTCCTTCTTCTGGGCCCATGTTCCCAAGGACAACTTGAACACTTGTAGTTATTTTGTGCAATAATTACTAATATGTTTTTTTCTCTTGTTCAAAAACAACATCAAGATTTTTTTTTTTAACTAAGAAAAAGGAATTTCAGAATTTGGGTCCATGGGTCTACTTGCTAGGACCCAACATGAGTTGGTGGGATCACACTTGCTATTTATTTGAAAAGACTCCATTTCTTATGATCAGCTTGAGGGGTGATGCTTGAGGGGCTTCTGAGTGACAGAAAGGTGTTTGGTGAACCCATGTACGCACATGTGTCCCAAAGCTGCTGTCTTTTCCCGTCCCCTGTCGCTGCTCCTTGGTGTCTTGGAAAGCTGGGTGCTAGGCCGCTCAGGGATCCCAGGCCATCCCCTCTGTAGTCGGGGCTGTCCTGCTGCCTGTGATGGCTCTCCCCTCCTCTGTGTGGTCTCTTTTCTCAGACAGCCATTTTTTATTTCATTTTACCTCATTCCTGCTGCTTCTCTTGTGATGGTCCCTGATTGCCTGTCTTGTCTGATAACTGACATTCATTAATCATTTTTCAGAGCCAAAAGCCAAAACCAAACCAACCAATCACAAAAAAAAAAAAAAATTAAAAGCCAAACCAGGTCTCAGACCAGTGTCTCTATTGCAGCCTGATCCCATCTAGAACTTTCTGTCCTCTGACCTCTTTCCCTTCACTGTCCTGCCCAGAGCTCCCTCAAGCCACTCTGGCCACCTCTCTGTCTTATCTGTTTAAGTCTCCCATGTCCAGAGGAGCCTGTCCTGAAGCCACTGGACCAGCACAGACAACTGCCGGGCACATGAACCCTAGCCTGGGTCTAACCCTTCTTGTCTGTGTTCTTCTCACTCACCCTTTCTCATCTTATTTTTATTTTTTAATGTCTGCTGCATGTAACAGTCCCTGCTTGGATCTCTTTCCCCAAACCCACACTTCCTGTCAGTCCCCTCTCAGTAGAAATTATCACTCTACCCAGCTCCAGCCACTGTGGCTTCAACTCCTGGCCAGGATAAGAAACCTTGTGTACCGCTTTGCTTTCTGTCATCAGTCCCAGCAAAGCATCTTGGCACAGCTTTGTGCCCAGTGGCTGGAGGCTTCCCAGCTGGCCCGATCCATTTCCCTCCTGTACGCTCCTAAAATGACTGACCCTTCTCTGCAGTCCCTTGTTGAGTCCTTGAATGCTTAGCTCTGGTCCTCTAGACAAGCAGGCAACCAGTGCTGCCCAGATCCCCTGGATTTTCTGTCTGTCCAATGGGATCCAGTGTTCTCTGTGTGTGTATGTGTATGTTTATCTGTGAGTTTTGTTGTTAATTTTGCATGAGTGGCAGCATCCTTGTAACAGGGCATCTGCTGTCCCAGGTATATCCATCACCAGACCTCGCAAACCTACTCCCTTGTCTTGTGCTTTGTTCTGTACCTGCTTGAGCCATGGGGACCTGTAATCGCTTCTCTCTGTGTGAGCCTGTGGCATGCTGTCTGCTTTCTGTGTCCTCCACACAGGCTTCCTGCTGACCTCAGCCACCTACCCTGCTTGGCTGCACATGGACCCTGTACCCCCACTGTGTCCAGGTCTTGTTGTGGCCACCTTCCTTGTCTGCATGCCATTCTTCCCACCCTTGCTTCCTCCTTGCTTTACCCTGAGCACACCCGCCTGAAAGTCCCTGGGATTAGCCCTTGGCGAGGGCACCGTGCTGGCCCGGCATGCTGTGTTGGCTTTGTGTGCGCCACGCCAAGAGGCTGGCTGTCTTGGGCCGCGGGAAGTGGGCTCTCATTAACCACCGGCTCCGTGTTTGTCCCTTACTTGTGTTCTAGAGAAGGATGAGGCTGCAATTGAGCGCTCTCAGTTCAATGCCACGTCAGTAGCTGATGTGGACAAGCGGGTGAAACGGCGGCTCCTCATGGGTAACACTTTTCTTCCACTTCCTTTGTTCTCCTTGCCCTTTTGGGTGTGTGGGTGAGTGTGAATGAATGCTGGCCTGGGGGTGCTGGTGTGTGGTCTTGTGTGTACATGCCAGCTTTGGGGACTATGAGAGCCTGGGTACTGATGTGTGAATGTATGGATGCTGGTGGGGAGGTGAACTGCTGTGTGAGCCTGTGTTTGTGCTAGCATGTGGGTGTGTGTGAGCATAAGGATGTACATTTGTGTGGTGTGGGCTCTCCGTGTGTTATATGTGAGTGTGGGGAGGCTCCACGGCAGATGGGAACTCATTTTCCTTTTTAATTTTTTTTTACCCTCCATCAAACACAATTATTCCTTTGTTTGTGTATTGTAGTAAAGAACCCAGCACCCATGTCTAGAGGTCTGAGTGCATAATCCTCCTCTACTCACTTAGAAACCAACATGCTCATTAGGTTTCCAGGGTTAGCATGCCACAGAGACTCAGTGGCCACTGGTGGGAGGAGGTTCTGTGTAGCATGGTCCTCTGATCTTGCTCTTGGAGTGTCAGGGGAGGCCTGCTCGCAGGGCTGTTGCTAGACCAGCCCAAGAAAGAAAGGGAAGGGAAAGAGAGTGTGACCGCTCTTGACCCACAGAGTATAGACAAGATACAGGGTTCCACCTCTGCATTCTTTCCTTTTCCTGTCCATCAGTGGGCCCCCTGGTTCTAGGCAGCTGGCATGTAGGCTGTGCCAGCTGACAGCACCTCCTGAGCATAAGTACAGCCACCAGGGCTGTCACAACCTGCCCAGTAGCACTGTCTGGCAACTGTACAATTGAGTAAAAGAGTCCCTATTTCTCAGAGGAAGAAACTGAGACTCCCTCATTACCCTATATGCCTGAACACCATTAGGGATCATGGCCACGTGAATCCTGGAGGTCAGAGGTTATCTCATATTGTAATGCTCATGTGGAGGCCCCAGCTGGATAGCACATGAATTCTCAGCACTTCTGTCTGAAATAGCCCCCTGTGGAAAGAGTAAGGATGCTCTAGGACTGCAGCCCCTAGCTGGTAGCCCCTCCCCCCCACACCAGGCAGGACAGCTCCCAGGTGACATTAGTAGGTGCACAGTCTGGAGAATAGCAGGGGTGACCATCCCCACTTTGTCTCATGCTTGTCAGAGCACACTTGGGCATCACATCCAGAGCCAGGCCATGTGTGGAAAGCCAGATAGACAGGAAGGGGTGATAGAACTGAGTCAAGTGTTGACCTCTGTGAGGGAGTGTCAGCATACTGTCCTGGGAGACTCTAAGTCTAGAGGTGGCTTGGTCCTCTGAGGTCCCAAGATGGGAGAGAGGTAGGACAGGCCAAGAGGCAGCATCTGGCAGCAGGACAGGAAGATAAGGGACAGGAAATTCTATGACAGGCCATACCCTGGGCCACCTGGCTGCTTAGACTGTGCCTCTGACCCCAGTAGTGACCAGCTCTGAACCAGAGGACCAAGGTGAGGATGTGATGTTGAGAGGAGACAGGGCCAAGACACTGAGTATTCAGAATTGACGAGAGTCAATTCAGCACCTCTGCCCAAATTTTCCCTCCTCTACAGTGGGTCCTCACAGTCCCAGAGACCTCTGTCCCACATCCTGAGGGTCCCCACAGTGCAGAGACCTCTGTCCCACATCATGAGTTGAAGAGCACCCGTCCTATTGTCACATAACTACAAGATGACCCCGCAGCTTTCTTCCAGCCCTGAAGCCATTGCAGAGGGGGTTTATTTGGAGAGTGAGAAAGCTGGAGGCAGGGGGTACACCCCTCAGGAGGCAATGGTGAGGATGTGGGTTTCCCCCACCCACTTCCTATCTTGCCTCCCTCTGGCTTTCTGTGCTCTCTACACATCTAGAGCAGGCTGATTCTCAGGCTGAGAGAACCTCCTTTCCCTGTGGGTGACCAGAGCCATAAATCCCTCTGGCAATGTCTTATCATGAGCTCCACAATGGAGGTGCAGGATTCAGACCACACCCCTGACTCTAGCTGTTAGAACCAGGAACTCTCCAAGAGATATTCTGTGCCCTGACCATAGAGGCCACTTCCCTTAGAGTCCTACAAGTCCATTATCAATCTCATAGTAGTGAGACAGAGCCAGGGACAAACCAAAACTCTAGTGGACACAACACACAGAGAGATTTAAAGCCCCAGGCACTTGTTGGTCTCCCAGCCTCTCAGGTTCTTCTTGGGGACCTACCTACTCCTTGCCCAAGCTGTGTTATTTTGACTACAAGAGTCCCAGTTTAGAGCCTAGAAGTGACCCACTCGAGCCTACAGCATCACTCATGCGAAGGTGCTGGTAGCTTTTCATCTCAGAACCCCACTGCTGGAAGCACCAGGCAGGGCAGGAAAGGCCAGCTGACCCTGGTGAAAACCATTTAGTAGAGGGAGGGCACAATGCTCTCTTAGGACAGAGGTGGCTCTATTCCTGGTGGGATAGCAGGGTGCTACCCCACTAGTTGAAGGAGAGCCCCAATGAGGCCATCCTTATCCTTCTGGAAGAAGTCAGGAGAGATCCTTCAAGAGACCTGGGAGAGCTAGAGTCCATTCAGATCAGAGAGTCTAAGGAGGCCTCCCAGCACAGGGCCTTTAACACAGTCCTGTCAGCCAAGGTCTTCTTGCCATGTGGGTTCTCTCATTGATCCAGCTAGGACCCCAAGTCTCTCTGCCCATAGTAGAAGCTCCAAAGCCAGTCCCACACATGTGAGACATACTACACAGTGGGAGCTATGTCTCCGCCTCAGTCCTTACAGCGGTACCCACCTTTCCTGATAGCCTAGTGTTTAGCACCTCTGCCCAAATTTTCCCTCCTCTACAGTGCTGCTCCCTTGGGTCCCCACAGTCTCAGAGACCTCTGTTCCACATCGTGAGTCGAAGACCTAAGTCCTGAAAAGGGAGGTAAACATGGCTAGGGCATGGTCCTGCCAGTTACCAAGTCCAACCAATTGCAGAACATACCGGGGGCTCAGCAGCTGTTCAGGCCCTGGTTGTGCTCCCAAAGGCACCAAGTAAAACCTATAGCCCACCAGTGGGGTCCTGTGGGAAACCTCAGGAGAGTAGGATGTCTGTCCCCCCAGGGCAGTGACCCCAGCCTTCTACTCTACCCAGACTTCACTGAGAACTGGTGCTGGCATAGTTGATAGATAAGGACAAAGAGAGAGAGGAGCTGAGAAACTTCCTCCCTAGACTGTCCTCTCTGACTCTGCACCTGTCACCTGACCCCCTGAGGCCCACGATTCTCTGCTTCCTCTCAGAGTCTGTCCACAAATGTATGCTCAATGCGTATAGATGTCAGAGCAAATGGGACACTGCCTGGTCTGAGGGGGTCCTAGGTTTAAAATATTAGGAGTCCCCCAAAGCCTTACCTGTCCTTCTTTACCTGAAAGGCCCTCTTCATAAATGTTCCCACTGATGGCCAGAATTTAGGTCTGCCCCCAACATCCATGGCTCTCTTGATTGGCAGCCATTGCATAGGCATGGCCCAGAGGTACCTGGACAGGAAGAGAGGTGAAGATGTTGGCCCTAAGGCCAGCCTGTGAGGCCCTGGGGGAGTCACATCACATTTTTCAGGGTATTTCTTATGTCCCTCAGAGACTTCTGTGAACTGGGAATTACACAGCATGTCCCCACTACAGCTGTCATGAAGATATTATGAGCCCACTTGGAAAAGGTACCTAACCTGGTACCTGGCCAGTGGGCAGCACTTACCAGGGCCAGCTGTTAATGTGGGTGGCCAGGGAACAAACCAAAGAGTCAGAGGTAGACAAGGTGGAGCCAGCATTGCTCTTGCTTGGCTCTGCCCTGTCTTTCTCTCCTAGCCCTGTCTTCCCCCTGCTCTGTCCCTGCCCTCCTACTTCCCAACCAAGGCCTCTGGTGCCTGAGGAAGCTGCTTAGGTGAGGGTAGGTGGGTGTGTCTTGCTGGGAGGAGCTTCCTGCTGCAGCCTTCTCCTGCAGAGGCTGGGGTTTCCATGAGTGGGTCTCCTGCACTTACCCAACCAGCCTCACAGGAGGTTGAAGAGTATGGTAGGACAGCACCCCAGGGTTTTCTGCATTGTAAAAGGTTCAGGAAGAAGGGGTAGACTCCTGCACTTACCCAACCAGCCTCACAGGAGGTTGAAGAGTATGGTAGGCAGGACAGCACCCCAGGGTTTTCTGCATTGTAAAAGGTCCAGGAAGAAGGGGTAGAGGGGGGCTGGAGAACTGTGAGATAAGGAAAAGTAGAGGTGATAATGGCTAATCCGTAGGGGGCACAGACTGCCACATACTGCCTCAAGTCTGAACTCCACTTCTCCCCACCAGTTGCCCACTCTGTCAGCTCTCTCCAACCAGGGGATGCATACCTTCTCCTGATTTTCCCAGCCCTACACACCCACTCACCTGGATGGCCCCTGTCTCTCTGGGTGTAACTTCTTCTTGTCCTGGGCTACCTGCCCCAGTGGGTCTCACCCACCACCATCACTACCCAGTGCCACTTAAGGTAGTTCTGCCTGACAAGGCTACCTCTGTCTTCCAGCCTTCACTGGACCGTCCCAATGTCCCCTTTCACACCCCCACTGGGCCACAGTCCAGCTCTGTACCCTCCTGTGCTAACAGGGCCTAACTGCTCACAGAATTCCAGAAACTGGGTACCCCTGAAAAAGATCAAGGGTCCAAGCTACACCCAGCCACTGGACTGATCCCACATGTGCCTAGTCATCTGGGTCCCTGGCAAAGGCCTGAGTCCCTCCTTCGATTTGGTCATACATACATCTGGGGCCAATAGGAGTTAAGTGAATGGCAATTTGGCTGTCAAAACAAAGAGTGGATAGAGGTGCAGGGTCCTGGCAGGGTTTATTAATTTGGCTGTCAAAACAAAGAGTGGATAGAGGTGCAGGGTCCTGGCAGGGGTTGCTG